CCAATTATCGTGACCTTTATACGCGCGAGTGACAAGTAAAACATGAATTACGCGTATCGTTGCTAAAGGTACCAGGTCTCGTTCAAGTGCTACTCGACAATAATATCTGTAAATGTTTCGAGTGAAAAATGTGAAGAAATTTTCAACGCAACTGAAACGCGCAGAAGAGATGCAATTGCGATGAATCGCTTTTGCCTTTCGGCTAATATCTTAGGGTTTATCTTGTATTGTCTTATCTATCGACCGCGCGATAAAAGTGATGACGAAAAGCTGGGAATATAAACCCAGTGTGTCCGCTAACGCGTTATCCGCAATGTTTTGTGACAATAGAGGCGCGGTAACATCGTAAAACTGCGAAACGATTTCAGGCGATGTTATTTGTGTCGTAATTCTCGCAGGTCACACGACACGCGAGTTACGATCAGCATAATCGAAAGTCATAATGCTCGTCGCTTGGTCGATGCCGGCAGCTCGACGACGGTCACCGTCGATCGATCCACCCTCGACATATGTTCCGACTGACATTCGCGCATCTCTGAAATATCCGGCGAGGCTATCGTCCCTAGATATATTTCCATCAACATTCTATCTCGCGAAACAAGTACGCGCGCAAAAATTGCGCGCGAGAATATTTTCCGCGATGATCCAATTGTTTGGCATGGAAACGCGTAGAAATGCGTCGGGATATTACAGCGATGATATCACAATGGTGGAATAAAATACACGCGTCCTTATGAAAAATCTTCCATAGAGCAGAAGCGATCAATCACGAATGACAAATTTCCTCGTTCGATAAAATAACGTCTATAAAATGGATCTTCTCTTAATGAAAACATCGTACAACGTTGCGGGCGCGTGATTCGAGCTATACATTATCATCAATTTTTGCCAAACTGTATCCATAGTCGGGAATTCTTTTTTGGAAAAAATTCTAGATTCGCGGGGCATCGGAGATTGATAATTTTCAGAAACATCGCATCAACGCGAAACGTTTCATATCTCGTCGACGGATGCGAATTACGACGATGCGAGCTTTTGTCACGTAGGAGCTCTTTTGTAGCGAATTTCGTCCAAATACTCCCGTGAGGTCTTAAATTGAAATAGTTGGGGGCAAGAGGGGGAACGGGCGCGAAGCTTACTAAACCTTGATTGAATTCGGGTTGTGCGAAATTAGGCCAGAGTTTACGCGCCTGCGGTGTATTTTGACTTAAGCTCGGATTACGTGCGGTCACCGTTGAAATCGCGCGGCTGATTTTGATTCTACACGGTGACAGTTTCAACAGTTTCTCGCGGTAAAGAGAACTCGCGCGCTGCTTTAATTTGAATATTTTAATTAATCGCGGAGCGTACGACAAAGTTATAATATTTCGCCGGACACTTTTTGATATTACATTTAATCAGATTATTGCGCCGCTATTACTGGTCTCCCGGCGCGTATGTAGATTTTAATTAAATTAACGAATGGTACATTTGCGGACGAGGAAATGATTTACTCGAGCCATTGTTCCTAATGTTTTAATTGATCTAATTTCGCATGCTCGCCTAGGAAGAAATTGGACTCGAGAAACTGTCGACTCGAAAAACTTGCGATACACCAACATTAATTAATATATATATATATATATATATATATATATATATATATATATTAATTGTAATTCTCGCTGCAAAATTAATTAATACACTTCCATGTTACGTAATATGCTCATGCGTGCAAAATTATCGAGTCTTTATTACATCCAGCGATCGTATAACGCTTAATTGCTCATTTATTCGCTCGAGTTATTCTCCTTATCGCGAATATTATACGATATTCTCCGTGGAGATTTTTTTACACGTCATTAATGGCGGGGACAGTTATTTATCTTGGATTTTTGTAGAAAGAGCGTTCGCACAGTCGCTAGAGAGAGGCGGCGCGATTATAGCCGAAGGCGCACGTTTATTCGACGACGGGCTTTTAGAGCAAACAAAAGCGGAATCCCGCTTTTATAGAAGATTAATGCCTCGACCACGAGGATAAACGGTACACATTTAGCTGCAAAGGCCAGTGCGTTTTCGAGAGGTCAAAGAGATTCGCTCGAGCTCGACGTTCATGATTGAGTACAACTTGAGGTACGAGCTTCCTCTTCGTGGCTTTTAAGTAAAAGTGCTACTGCTCGCCACTCTATATTTGTGTATACGCAAGCGGCGATACTCGCGAAATTAATTCGCGGTAGTTTGGTACGCATGACAAACAGGAAACGATTGTGTTTCATCGTTAAAGCTGCGAACAAAACGTCTCTGCCAATTGGATCATCGTCTATTACGTAGCGTTTATTATCGGACCGATAATGATCGATAATTGGCGCGAGATAAAGTCGACAAAGAAACGCGCACCGCGCGGATAAAAATATATATAGATGTAGATCCCTGTGCACAATTGACTTGACATTGATTCAATCCGCTAACCCGGTCGTCACGTTTGTTTTCTGTTTAATGAACACGTGGATTTAAATTGATGGATACATATCCATCGTTATTAAGCGCACTGCGTGTGATAAATAGAGATGAACTTGGCGAACCGCGGTGTTTTTATTGTAAAAATATCCACGTTATAGCGAGTCGGGTGCATCGCTTGTGAAGCTTTTATATCGCCGCAGGATTTACGCTTCCTCTTTCATCCCTCCTCCAGCCTGCCTCCCATCTTCACTTTGCACTACTTTGAATTCATTTAATTGTCCGTATACAATATTTACGATTGTTCTTGGCCGCACATGTTTTGGAATGAAAGCGTTGTAGAAAGATGTTATAGATTATCTCATCAAATTAAATTAAATTTAGATTTACCAATGTTTTATAAGATGAAATATTTTTCGCATAGTTGTTTCAAGATGATAATTTCTTATCGTTGGTATTATTTTTCTTAGAGAGTGAAATATATAAATTTGTCAAGCTCATTTGATAATAATCTTGCATTATTCGAGTAAAATAATTTTGCGTTTTCATGTTATTAATATTATATAATTGAATATGTTATGGCATAAAAGATTTTAAACAAATCAATTTTTTTATTTCATGAAATAGAATGTTTGTGTACGTACGAGAGTGCGAGAGAAAGAGTTTAAACAAGAAACGAATACGGGAAGAGTGGAGAGTATATCGCTACTCGTCAAGTGCAGAGCGTCAAAGGAAATTTCGCTAAAACAAGCGTGGGACAAAGTTTGCGCGCTATTCCGTAGTATTTGCGATTGGTGCATCCTGTTTTGAAAATCAATCATTCGTTGAGAGTACGTCAAAGACACCGTTTCCTTTTATCATCGCTTTTCTTTTCTTTTTTTTTCTTTTCCTTCCTTTCCTTTCTTTTATCAAAACGCATACATAGGTAAACTTTGCCCATTTGTATGCACAAGTTGTTCATCGAATATAATAATATCTCTCTTATATTTTCGAGCAAACAGCGTGCTTCTCCAACGAGCGGATTAATTCGTCAAATACAGATTTATTCAACGAATCACTTGGCTGTATTCACTCGTATTCGCATTGAAATTAATGCATATGTTTGTACGACATGCGAATGATTTCATCGGAATAAAAAAGCGGGGAAAAAGAAAGAAAAGTGTACGCAAGACGGATGTGTGTGGGTGAAAAGAGACGTGTAAGAGACAAAAGGAGAAAAGGGGAAGAGAAAAGATTGGTGGCGATCCGAGCTACGAAGAGACGATGAAGAAGGGTTTCTCGAAGCAGGGGTTCGTTTTGAGGAGGGTTGGTGGAAACGGCTCGGCAGCAAGATTATCTTGCCGCTAAATTGACGTCCCTTTCGCAGACACGCGCGACTAGCCGTAATCGAAATTGTTCCCGCCTCCCTTCCTTCCTCTCCTCTCTTTTCCTTTGTCAGGACAGAAATATCGCGAGCAGAATGCATTTGCATTTATAATAAACGCCAGCTATTGCACAGCCTATCTGGCTCGCTATTATACCGTTTCGTTATAATCTGCTGTTCTTCTCTAGGGTTGTAATTCCGACGGCAAAAAAAGAGGGTTGGTCTTCTTTACATTGTAAGATTTTGCGCGGAGAAACAGAAATTTACGCGTTGAAAGATGTTTGCTTTTCAAGAATGTGCCATATCTAAAGGAAAAAAATGTGATTTTTTTAATTATTATGCGATTATTTCGCGTTAAATATACGCGAAATAATCGCATAATATGTGCTATATATATGTGCTATAATATTTTCAATTTAATTTGCTATAATATTTCATAATTATAATATTTTAATTCAATTTGCTATAATATTTTCAATTTAAAATTAAAAATTTTAATATCTTATATGCGTATGATGCGATAATATTTTTCTTTCACTTATTTTGCTGTTAACAATAAAATGCAATTTTCACATTTGCTTGATTATTAGATTTAAATGATTATACTTTACGTTACGTGAAATATGAATCATAAAAATGTCGAATTACAAACGTGGCCAATTATTTTGTAAAAAGACTTTTCTTTTCTTTTTCCTCTTTGCTTTTCCGCGCTTCTTCCCTGGAGGAATGTACCTTAGATACGCGGCTGATTAAATGGTCGATAGCGAAGAGTGATTCGATGGTATTGTGAAGAGCTAATCGTGTGAAATTCATGTGTCCCTTGGTATTTCGGTCAGCGAGCAAGATAAAGAATTATCGCTGTGTTCGAAAGAGGATGGGACGTGGATTACTAGCGAACGCTACTCGAATAAAAATCGAATAGTCGATCGCAGGAATTCCGCGTCGAATCCGAGAGCGAGTCTCGACGACCCGATTGTACCCCAGCTCCTGCATTTCTTTCAACATTTTCTCGTATCGCGATACATATCGACTGATTAATCGCGTTTGCAAGAACCAATCCGTTATGTTTGTCGCTAAATGTTACATTAATCTCGAGAGAAAAGTTCAAGATGTGTGTTTTACTATGATACTTTTCAGAGCTTACTTTTGCAGCTGGAAATGGATCGTGGATATTCCCTTTGACCCGTTTCCTCGTTATATCACTGACAGTGGATAAATGAAAATAACATAAAGCAAAAAAGAAACGTAGCGACACGGAATTATCGCGCGCATCATTACGCAGGGCCGATGGCGAAATAAACGACGGAGAAAGTATCGGAAGATGTATAGATACGCAGGTAGGCACGCATACCTGAGAAGAGACATGCGTCGCAGGTACGGTGCAAGCGAAGGAGAAGGAGCAAAGAGCACGTCTCGGCGAGTCTCGGTCGAGGTAGAGAGATGGACGAAGAGGAGGAGATGTGTCGAAGGGAGAGAAGCCGACGAGAAACAGGGAGCGAGAGCGAGAGATGGAGAACGAATAGAGGCGGCTGGATAGAGAGAAAGGCCAAACGGGTTGTCGGGGTGTCGGGAGCGGGACGCGGCGAAGGGAAGGGAGGACGGACACGACGAGAGGTGGAGGTTTCGAGTGGTTCAGTTGTAGCGGCACCGTGGCTGAGATCGGATGCGCGTGTCCATCGTCTTCCTTCCGGCGACTCGCGTGTCGGGGCCACGCGCGCGTGACTTCTTCGTCCGGTTCGTCCCGCTCGTCCCGTCGCCCCGCCTCGTCTCGTCTCGTCTCGTCTCGTCTCGCTCGCCGGGGTCCGATCAGCCGCGCGGCTCTTCTACTGATCTCGCGGCGCCCGCGTCGACCTTCCGTTTTCACTAGAGGCGAACCGTCCGCACGAAACTTTCAAACGACTACTGCGCGGTCTGCCTCGCCGTAAAATCTCGGCTATAAAAAGCCTCTTGAAAGAGAGCAGCTCGAACGTTGACGGCATTGTTCTCCATCGATGACATTTTTATCGCAAATTTGAAAGAACGCGTCCGCGTCTTTAATCGAGGCGACGAGTGAAAATTTAAAAAAAATCGCAGCAATTCTGTTCCGACAGGTGCGAGAGAAGGAGTTCCTCGTCGGCTCGGTCGCGAAAGAAAGAGGAGAAAAGAAATGTAGAGAAATGCAGGCGTGATGGTACTCGTGTTGTCGTGCACTCTCGAAATGATATTCCGCAAAAAGTCATGCGTGATGCGCCGGAAACGAAACGGCCTAGGCGCGCCGGTGCACCGATGTACGGGTAACCAACCTGCGGGGTTAACGTTATGGTAACGTGAATCGATCGCCTTGATTTTCGTTCTCCCCCCGTAACATCTGTCACGGCAAGAACTCGTGATCGAACTGCGTGCATGTTACGAGAACCGTGTTTCCGAGTGAATCTGTCGGGAGTAGTTTCGTAGACGTTATTGCGAATTATTGTACAATGTTAACATTTCTCTACGCTTGAAAGTGCGCAATTTTTCCGAAATATTGCTCTCTAATTTTTGTAACTCTTCATCGAAAGGACACGCGGAGAAGAGGGGGGGAAAAAGGAGTGACTTTGCTGCGTATCATGAACATGGCGTATGCGTCGTTTCTCTCTCTCTAGGAATCACCGGCCGGCAATTACACGCTGTCGATTGCGACAGAGAAGTTCTGTAATCAAGAAGGACACGTTTTCCGATCGGAACTCGGACGGAATTGTGATAAATGTCCGCTCCTACGACGAATACGACTAAATGCGAAATTAAAATTAAAATTGATTAAACATGGGAGACTTTTATTCTCGTCAAAAATCGAAACGATCAAGAGATAATATGCGTGAATCCCTCTTAAATACATATCAGTATACTGCACCCTAGTATCATGGCTAGCGACGACAGATAAAGACAAATCCATTCTGTGATATGATTTTTATGCTCTTTTAAGGAGAGATGGAAGCTTTTATTTGCACCAATTGAAAATTAAGCTGATGTATCGTCGGTGCTTGAAAGAACGAGCGATAACGCGGACTTTCAGACAACTCGATAAGATTTAACGTTCATACAATAAAAGCACAACTGATATTCGCTCCAAACCCGCGAAATGCAAGAACTAACACAATTTCATTATTTCAATCATAAAGACCTCCTCCTTCCTTTATTAGCTTAACGAGGAAAGCTTGAAATCACGAGGAGAGACGGTGATTTTTATTCCGTGATATAAAAACTAACTACTAAAACGTAGACTTTACAACGCGCGGATTATATCGATGCCACGTCGGATAAGAAAAAGAAAATTGCGAGTCAATTGGACCCTTGTCGCCGCAATGGAATTTAAAGAGGAATTTCAGCATCAACTGACGGCAGGATAATGCGAGAGATGCAAGGCATACATATATATAAAATTAACAAGTACCCAATAGTTATATATGCGAAAGAATGGAGTCTCATATGCCTGCTTATGGCGACGATATCGAGGAAATAAGGCTCGGTAGTCGGGATTGACAACAATGTCTAGACCAGGCAAGGATCCGGTGCAGAAGTGCCACTCGGATCCGGGTGCTGCAGGTACTTCATGCAGCCTAAGCAAGCGGATTTCAAGGAGGCAAGTGCCATGCATTCCATCCTCACCGAATACACGCAAATGTGTGTTAACCTTGGATGGATACAGTTACGTGATCGGTGAGTGAAGACGCGATTATATCATCATATATCTCAAATGTATATGATACACTACAATAATATATAAATAAATATCAAGAATATATAAACGAACAAGCAGTAATAACAAACATAATATTTTCCATGCGAGGCATTTATTTCAATAATCCCACCTTCGCGAAAGGTAGACATTAGTCTCGCTGACAAAAGTTTATTAAAGTTTATGAAATGATCCTTCCTCGGTGTTTCTTAATTGGGGCATAAAGTGTAAAATAAAATAATGAAAAAATTAACACTTTAATCCCACGGTTTTTTTAAACGAATTTTCGAACCGAGACCATTGTTAGTAACGATTATTAGTTGAGATTAAATGTTCAAAATTTAATCTTTAATTTAATCGCAAATAAAAAATAAAAATTCTACAAAAGCTTTATTAACTTTATTATAATTTGTTTTAGCTGCATAATACTAGCTCTTGTATTTTTTGCCTATTTAAATCGTTGTTTTATTTTATTCTCGCCAAAGGTTTAATTTGCAAATATGTGAGCTTAATTTGCAACGCGAGTGCATTTGTGTAGTTCTGAGGCTTCCGTGATAAATAGTTTTGTTATCCCGAAGGATAATTAGCATTTTAAAGCTCGCCGCAAGAGATGTAACGTGGTTACATTATCATTACGCGAGTTTACGACATTGTACTCACACATTAACGTCTCTTGTGTCCCTATTTAAGATTATGCGCGTGCTTGAACCCGGCTTTAATATTTTATAAATACATAAATGCTAACAAGTTAATGAATTATGCAAGTTGTTGCATTATTGTAAGATTATTCAAGTATATAAAATATAATATAAAAGATAAAATTATTGCAAATAATTTTATTAATAACAAAACATAATTTATATAATACAAAATAATATAAAACGCGAATTAACAAATTTAAAAAGATAAATTGACAAAAAATTTTTTTATGCCTTCTGTATATAATTGACTAATGATTTACATTTCATTTCTATTAATTACATTTTTTATATAAATTTGAGAATAAAAACTTGTAGGACTCATTTAATCCGTTAATTTACGCTCGAAAAGTTTCAACGAACAATGGTTTTTTTAATTATAAAACAAAAACGTCAATTGCACGTGTTGTATATACATATGCATGTCCTATACTCGTATTTACTCTTACATTAATTAGACACATGATGAAGGATGGTTTTTATATGCGAAAAGTTTGATATTCCGCCGACTTAATTAATCCAATCGTGTGTGCGAACAAGGTAGAGAATATGGAACAAGTTTCTATTTATTAGTAACAAAAATTACTACATTACTAATGTAATATCTCGGAAACACGCCAGTACAGATATCCTTAAAATAAAATTCAGTTCATATATATCGTCGGAAAGTTCAAAGAAAATGCGCGCATTTTATATAATAGTTGAACTATAATTGACATTTCTTTTGTTTTTGAACTTATGCTCGACGCATCTCTTTATATCGTCATCACCAAAAGACACGGCATTATCACGAAGAATGCGTGCTTTTCAAATTTCACGTATTCAAACGCTTTTAACGCATTCTTGAAACATCTTTCGTCGCGATAAAACAAAATTTGGATGTTTCTCAAATAATAAAAGGTTACAATCCATCTACGAGCTTAACGTGTATCGATCTCTTATGTGTACTCTTGCGGAAGTTTTATATTTTCACGATCGCCACGAAAAAAAAAGCTATCGCTCCCTCAGGTCCAATTATAGGTTTCCTATGTTCTAAACTCGAAATATTGGAAAGCCTATGTGTTGCCAAATATTCTTCACGAGATCAATATTTCGATGCATTCTACTTGCGAGAATAAAATTATTATGACACTTTGATCTCGGATATTTCGAGCTGTCTATTTTAATGTCCATCTTCGAAAGGTGTACTTTCGAAATTTCTTATCGATTCGATGTGTTATATTTGCGCATCCTTTATACAAGTTTCGTTTGAAATTCAATTATCTTGCAAAGTTGAAATAGAGTGTGGATGAGAGAGAAGGTCTCTCTCTTACGTGCAAGAAAACATAATAATATCCATATGTACAGTCAGATGCTGTGCCCAGATACGATAAATTATTGGCGGAAATTTATTCTTTGCACAACCGACGATCGTTTAAAATAAAAGTTGCATGCAACTATGTATTATTCATGAACGAAAGTTCGTGACTCGATGCTTTTCCTCTTCTGTGCCGCATATATAACACGTAATATGATTATTTCCGCATTATCCGTTGTGATAAGCGATCATTAGAGGCGCGCGCGCTCGACGAGCGCAATCAATGCCCGGTAACAATTTAATTTAGAATTAATCCGACGTTTCTCCGCGGCTCATTTGGTAGGCGGAATACGGTCTCAATGTAATTATAATCTCGCTATTAATAATTAACGACTGCCCGCGGTGTCCAATCGCGACATTTCGCTGCATATCACATGGCATAGCGTATATCGCGTGTGTAATGTTCGAAAGGCGTAATGTATCGCGGACATTCAACCGAAAAAGCCACACGCGAACGTGCGAGGGCAGTTATTAAGAATTATGCAAATCTGGACCGCCGCGCCACGCAGAGCGCTTTGCACTTATCTCGCATGCATTAATGCGGCAGAAAACAAGAGCGAAACGTGTTTGCGTCCCTTCCCGGTTAATCTTATTTTTCTCTCGGGACACGACAGAGGGAGGGAGAGAGAGAGACGGAGAGAAAAAGGGAAAAAGAGAGCCCGTGTGTTAATATGGGCCGCGCTACATGGTCGCCGCTACTGCAACTCGACGTAACTCGAAAACTACTATCATTAAAGCGAATTCAAAAGAGGTAGTTTGCAAAAGGAAAAACGGGTCGCCCGCGGTTGATGAAAGACGTACGCTTCGTTTTAAAAACTTTTCATTTTTCTCATCCACTCTTATTTCTTTGTTTTCTTCCCCCTTTTTTCTATGCGTCTTTGCTCGTTAAATTTCTTCAGCGTATCTCGACAGACAGATTTTACTCCCCAACGACTTCATTCGACCAATACACGCGGTATACGTACATACGTGAGATTAAAAAATACCCGTGTGTTTCTTTCCTCTTACAATTTTGCGGGATGTCTCGAATATCTGCGGATATTCGGCGGAAAATCTCTTTATCCGTCGGGACCCCAGCCGCTACAGAAGTTTGGGGTCGGAAACGAGAGATCCGTTTAATGAGATTAACGTCTTTTATCAGTGTCCATCTTTGCATCGCTCCTCTCGCACTCGACTTAACTCGACTTTTCCGCCGGCTGATTGCGAGAAAATTGATTCGATCGTTGTTTGTGACAAAATTATTCATGCGATTAAACTTCTTTGAGCGCGCCTATCCATTTCCCCTAAGTCGAGGAATGTAATAGAATTGTCGGCATTTCCAATCTGCAGATTTAATTAATCTTGTGACATTTGGCGGAAGAGGAAGTTTATGTTTTTATTTTCATGCTCGATCTCTGTTATCATACACGAATCACTACATCGTTTATCAATTTATTCTGACGTTGGCCACGCAGTAACGCATAAATCAACTTAATCAAGTTGTGTAAAAAAAAACCTATCAAACAAATGCCCCGTTTTCTTTACACGTGGTGAAAGTTCAAAAGTTTCATAATTATATATAACTGTAGAATACGTTTATTTATACATTAAGCCGGATAGATAAATAAATGGATAAATGTCTAGTACAAATATCTAGTCGAATTTCTTGCCAATTCGATATAACAATGACATTAATTGCTTTCGTCTTAAATATCGTCACAACGATCGTTCAATGTTTACATGCATCCGCTAACATCCACTTATTCGATCGATCTCACATAAACGTCGCGTTTTACTCGGTCAATTAATTGCCCGTCTCGAATTGCTTCTGTATGATTTATGTATACTATGGACAATATAATGAACGCAAACAATTTTCTGTTTCTATTCAGAAGCCACTCAAAATACCTAGATGCACTCAAAATACCTACATGTTGCTAGTCAGTTTTACACATGTATATTTTTTTATAATTTCTATTCTTGTTCGATTTAATTTGATTTTAATCGTTTGTATTTTGATTGTGAGCAATCATTACAAATAATCGCTACGATTTATCGAGTAAAAAATTACAAATGAGAAGATAACACAAATGAACGTTATTAAAGTGAAAAAGCCAAATTATTGAAACCTTTTTTCATCGATATGTAAAATCTCGTTGTTTGCACTTTGTAATTAAATTGATTTATATAATACATCACTCATATTTACTTTTAAATATAAAATATATTGATTAACTGACTTCCTTTAATTTTTGCATCGAATAGGAGTGCAATTGTCGATACAAATTGTGTAGGAAAAAAGAAAAAATTTTGCGACGTTTGCTTTGACACTCGAAACAACATTTTCACTCGATGTGTGCAATCAATTGAAATCTGTACAATGTCGAGTTTGCAAGGAAGGATAAGAAATAGAAAATATTGATTTTCCTTTGTGTGTGACTTTGCTGGCTTCGTTAAATTGTCTTGAACTAACGTCCTGTGGAAGGAACGAACGTTGATCAAGGAACATTGATCTTTGAGCAAGTTTATTTGTCATTTCCTTTAAGAAAGAGGAGAAGCTTCATCAAAGCTTTTCTCGCTGTCTTGACAAATGACTCTATTTTTATCTTACCTAATATGTTTTCTGTACAAATCAATTTCGAATACCTTGAGGAAAAAAGAGAAAGAGGGACATGCGCGGCATAGTTACTTTATAAGCTTATACAATTAAGAGATTGAAACATTCTTTAGAAAAAATTGCATATTCCTTTTATTTAAATTAATAATTATTCTTGATTGAAAAAATTATTTGGCACGCAAAAGTACATAAAAGCATGTAAATTGCTTTTTTATATCAATTCTCTTTAACGAGTCTTTGCGAATTAATGATTTCGTCAATACGTAAAATAATTTAGACACGAGTGAAGAGAGACTGGAATCACGTTCAGTATTCGCACTTTGATTCATG